TCAGGATCATTCTAGAAAGGCCCCAAAACATTGAACAATAGACGCGACTGGTGAATTTGCAGGTCCTTCCAAGCGGATTTGCAGGAAAGTGAGAACAAATTAACTACCTAGTTAGAAGAAATAGGCGCAGGGTTACTTTCAAATTACAAATCGTTTCCTATTAATCGTCTGTTTGCAGTTGGAAAAGCCAGTAGCCCTAAGCGATTTTTTATTTTTAAAAATTCAATATTTACTCACATGGCCCGCAAAGAAAATCGTATTTTAGCAAATTATATTTGTTAAAATTGGCGGGGAGCGTTTCGGCTTTGTATATAAAATAATAAAATTGAAATCGAGTTAATTAATAGACTTTCAGCGAGGCTTTAGTGCGAATCGCTGTAACGGAAAATGGCTCATTTTTCATTTGATTTCGACCGCACTTGCAATGGGGAAAACGTTTCGGTTATTAATAGATACCGATTTGCTTCGTGTATTTATCGGCTGCTGCGAAACTTCTATATCCGCAGTGTAATATTACTGAATGGTTCAGGTGTTTACTAATTCACCAAATGCTGGTCCATTTGGAGCAAAAATTGCTCATATTTATTTTGAAAATGTAACAATAGAATCGAAATTGATGACCAAATTGAACCAACCAAAAAAAAAGAACAGACGCAAAATAACTAGAAATGTCCCAAAAGAGATTGCTGACTTTTACACTAATTTATGTGCCAATAAAAGTGTCAAATTTTAGTCTCTGTTCGCTGGCAAACAAAACACTTGGATCTGCTCGCCCAGTGCAACTATCGATTCCTAAGGAAACTCACAGCACTAATTAATTAGCAGGCGAAGCTGATTACATTCGGCTTTGGCGATTAACTTAATGGCTTTAATGGGCCGAGAAATGCAGAAAATTTTCAATATATGCACCTTAATCTGCAGATTAATTTGAACACTGTCCCAATGTGCAAAGTAAATTTAGCGGAAAATCTAAAACTAAAGATAAAGATTAGTGTCACATTAATCTTATTACATGTAGAATGGAATCCGAAATTTTTTATTTTCCAGTGCCTTTGCTAGAGGTAAAATGATCCAACGAATTTATCCCATAACTCTGCGGATATTTGGTGATCCAATTTCATCAACTTTGAAAGTTTTGACTGATATCCATATCGAATTCATGTAAACTGGCCGACCCGAGGTAATTTCGGCAAATAGTCCGGTTCGTAATTGATGACCGGACCTTTCGCTCCGAATAAATCGAGTGGACGGAAGTGCAGAAGGTTCGATTGGGCCCTAATTATTGGAAGAACACTCTTCATTATTCACCGTCGATCGAGTTATTCAAATTTTCTGGAACAACGCCAAACTCCAGCTGCATGCAGGGCGCCAACGATCGTTGCAGGTTGCATAAAATTCCTATAGATAAAAAACATCTACATTTTCTCCATAGACTGGAATTTAAAAAAAAACTTTGGGCGCGGATAATTGAAAATAACCCTATGGAACTGGTTTGAGCATGAGAAAACCAGTTAGAAAGTCCTAAGCGAACATAATAGTGTTTTCCGGGTTTCATCCAGAAATCAGCAAAGTTAATCATTCAAAGAGAAACTAGTTGCAACTTTATCAATCTGGATTAGTTGGGCACTCAACAAAAGAGCAGGTGAATAGGGCTGGCGCAATTGAAGTTCATGAATACATAAACAGTTTTCTGAGAACTAAATGTGGTTTAACTCGTCGAAAATTTCAGCAAATAAAAGGAAAAACTAATCGCCAAGCAAAGGCAAGATAAATAAAAATCGAAATTCCACTCTCCTTGCGTCGTCTATAACAAATCCGATAATGTTATATCCGAGTAGCTCGTCGCCCTCGAAGGACGAGGGCATCAGACCTCTTCGATATCCGGCCACTCCAATTATTCCAAGCGAAAGATCTTGGTCATCGATTACCAAGCTGTTTACGAAACTGGCTTTGGACCGGGCAAAATTACCGAATCTCTGCATGCAGTGAAAGCTATTTGGTTGAATTCCTTTTGCGAGATGAAAACTGGAAATTGGTTCAGTGATAAATGTCGCACTCTTTATAAGGTTGTGATATTATTGAAATGCCTTTGCTGTTAGCGAACTCCCAGATGAACAGTCAACTTGGGGTGGAAAATCAAGTTGCTACCATGTCTTCCAGCGCCTGACATGGTTAGTATGTGGAAAAATGCGTTGGGTAATTTTGCGATAAATATCCGACAGAAAAATGCGGAATTTTTCAACATTAAACTAACATTCATTTCGCGTATTCACGCTAGCTGTTCATGTAAAACCACCCTTTACTATAGACTGGACATTTTATAGCTGTTTTAACAGCACACAAAATGTTAATTTTTTTCGGGAAAATTGCAACGATAAACCCACTCCGCACACAATATATGTATGTGGTAAATATCGGCAGCGAATTTATTGCGTTTTAATGACGCTGGTAACGGTTCGCAGTTTTCGTTATTGGCATTGTCGATTTATATTCGCGTTTTTATATGTTGGAGATTTTGAAAAACCCACTAAAAGTGAATGGACTTTGCATTATATAGCGCAAATATAGAGCCAGCCATAGATTGACAGAAATCGGGTGCTAAAATTTGAATATTAATTTTACTGATGTAAAAGTACTGCTTGGAAGTACAGAATGCGAAAACTTGATCGTTTCTATTGGGTTATTTCCGGAGGTAGCTTGGGTTTTTTGAAGTTAGAGAACTGGCGATTTTTCAATTTTTCTTCGTTAAATTGTTTATGAAATTCAGGTTGACACTGAAAAATTGCTGACTTCAACTACACATGTGTACTACACAAATTTTTGATAAAATATAATTCATTTTTTATATATAATCGTTTAAAGAGTGTAAAGGACACAAGTACAAGAATCGACGCTTTAAATATACAGATAATGACAAAGATCTTCGGCCACTCCGCGCCTAGTTGATTTTTTCCACGGAAATTAATGGACAATTTGGGATCTTTTACTGCTAGATTAACGAATTTAAAAATTCTATATTAACAAGCCAATTAAATGGATAAGGAATCATTGCTAATATTTGGATAAGGAATAAGACTAATATTTGCTTTTACACATTGCTGTTTGTGTATTAACCCTTTTTCTTCCTTGGGGGCATGAAAAATTAGCCTTTTGTTCAAAACTCTATACTAGTTGTGCTCCTGTCCTCCACTTTCGCATTCACAGAATATTCTGAGGCACCTGTTAACAAAACACTTGTTTTTTTTAACTGTAAGTACAAGACTTTCCTGTTGCATCTAATTCAAAATATCCATTAGCGTGAATTAATCTGCAAACAGTTTGAACAGACATTTTTTTCCCGTGAATTTTTCTAGTTAAAGTTGAAACTGTGAGTTAAATTGCAGGTGGAAAATGTTGTTGAGGTTCCAACTTTAAGCGAAAATATAATTTAAACACGAATGCAATGGAAATAGTGAAATTGGGAAGCAGTTTAGGGGTTGAAAGCGGTTGTTTTGCAATTCGCGGCCACCTAGCGGAAAATGTTCAATAGTTGAGTTGTAGACAATGAAAAATCTAAAACTTTTGTATCTAACACTTTTGGCCATGGAAATAAACCGATTTTTCAGTATTTAATTTTTTTTTAGCCCATATATAATTAAATGGACCTGACAATTGGTAACAGTATGTAATTTTTGGTGTTGACTAAGTATTATTTTTTCGCAATATACATTTTTAGAAAAAACTTTCCTTATCTTCCCCGAGCAATTGTCTAATCCTTTTTGTATTTCCAAAATCCATCTTCGATAATTTTTATCGTTTGACTGTCTACTTGAATTTTGTCTATCTAATTTGGTGGCTTGCTTATGGTTAAACCGCTTTTATTTTGCGAAAATTTCAAGTCTCTCTGAATCATGACTTTTTCAATATTCCCAATTATTTTCGATTTTCTTCATTATTTCTGCAACCCATCTTGAAAAGGTTACAACGTAACATCTTTGCTTACACATATTAACGCTGGAATACAATCTTCAAAACTGCCAAAAAATCATACTTATTTAACACAAAAAAAAAACGTAATTTTACAGATCTTCATGTAAATTAAACCAACCCATAAACTGCATCCCCATTTCAGCTCTTCCAGTGTTTTCGCCGGTTTAAAATGTTTCCTTTCTTAAAGTTGAAACCTCAGCAACATTGTCCCCCTGTAGTTTTCAACGCGTTATTAATTTTGTTATAAGTATTAAATTCGTATCGGCAGTAGCCCAACTGTAGGTATATATTTTACGTTTAATTTTTCCGATGTCACGGTAAGGTATGATGAATAATTTAAAAAATAATTAGCGCCTTGTCCTGGAGACATCATTCTCTAGAATTAATGTTTATAGACATAACGTTCACACTAACACAATAGAGGTCAAAACCTCGGCAAATACTTAAAAACGGATTTTTTACACTTCTTGTTGTGTATTTTGCCTCAAAAATTTTTGTCTATAGAAAAGACAGAATTTCCTCACGTCTTTTATTACAAATTATGTAATTTATTACAAAAATTTTTGAGGCTAAAAATCCAACAAGAAATTTGTAAAAAAATGAATCCGCCTCAACAATATAGAACTTATTTAAAAACAGATGTTGTCATTATCGTCCTGCACCTGCTATATTTTGAAATTAACTTTCAGATGGGAGCGCAAAACCTGATTTATAAAAATCATTTTTTGTTCATAGCCCCCTAAAAAATCATGAACTCAAGTATCAAACAGAGTAACAATCTCAACTTGGACGCAAAGTTGAAAGGCTTTTCGCACAACTTTTATTTATGATTAACAACCCTTAACTGGAACAGTTTCATTTTCGGTGCCCCCCTTGTAGAGTCAATGGTCAAAGTGTAGCTAAAACCTGAACCTTTGAAAGCTATTTAGATGTAGTCGAAGCAATGTTTTTCATAGCGCACTTCAATCGGCATTGCATGGAGAGTTGGCCTCATTATTCAACATTCGTTTATTATGTTCGGTGTTTTTCAGGAGCGACGACGGGGACGACGCTCAGCGCCCAGGCGCTCGTTGGGGGCACTGCATTGCTCCCCTGCGACCTTACCACGTCAGCACGAAATGACAGCGTTGTGTTAGTGGTTTGGTACAAGGACGAACACACACCGATATACAGGTAAGTAGGGCGTAAAACGAAGAAATTTATGGCGGTCTAGGGATCGCAGCCCGGACTTGATACAGACATCCTCAATTATGGCCTTAATTACCATCAACCGGGGCGGAAATGTAATTAACTCGGCGATGGATTTCGCTTGGAATTGCAGACGTTCAATAAGCCATGGATTTGCAATTTATAACGCAGGCAGGTCAAATGACGCAAACGCCCTCATCCCACTACCAACCAAGACCAGGAAATATGCCACAGTTTGGCAACTGTTTAACATTTTCAACGCGAAGTCTCGATATTGAAAACCAAAACTGTTTCCGTGTTGTCGGATTGAAGTGATCAATAAACCGTAGTAATTTGAACAAGGGGACCCGAAAGACACATAAAAGTCCAGCCTGGCAGTCCGAGTGTCCGGCAATAAGGCACACAAAAAATGCGCCATTTTGGAGTTCTGGACCGGAGCCGATGTTCGAATCAATTCAAAAGTTCCTTTCGGAAAAGTTTCCTTAATGCGACACATAAACGGAGAACGGCTGCAGAAAGAAGCAATAAGGCACACTCGGTAGCCGGGTCGTAATAACCCGTTATGGAATCTAAAGACGTTCTTGTGCGGAGATATTATAAACCGGCAAATAAACAATTCGCCATTAGTCAAGTCTGGAAGCCGAACGCTGCCCATAACGGCGAAATTATTCGCAGCTATTTCTCTTTCTCGAACAGCCACCGGCATTAGTTTGGTAATTTATGCGCGGATTTGTTGCAATTAACAATCTGGTGGTGAGGAGTTCCGTCGCTGGTTCTTGCGATTTTTGCCGTCTTTACAGCTTCATCGCAACTTAACTTATTACCTTCATCTGAAGTCCACAATATGGCACTGCATAACATTCATGAAAACCGCCCATGCTTCAGATTGTTTCGATTTTCATAATTTACTCGAGTATGATCCACATTTATTAGCTAACAATGCCTCAAACCTGCCGGCGACTTCAGTTAATTAGAAATTAACTATTGGATCGTAACTATGGGTCGTAATTTGACTTTCGAACGCCCCTTTCTGTTCGAAAAGTCGCTTTGACCAAACGAACATATTCCTGGCTTTGGACCACAGATGCAAAGGAATATTAAATTTAAATAGTTTTGGCTTCCCAGAGATAGAATTATAGATCTCAAGCATTGCCATCGTTCCCTTTTAATTCGCGATTGCTCGCATTTAAAACCACCGGATTGTTTGCTAACTGCATTTCCTTGAATGCCATTTAAGCCTTAGATGAAAAACAATCACTGTTCTTATCAAATTAACTTAACCAGCAAAGTACAGCTTTCAGCAAAACCTGCGATGTTTCAAATTGATTCGATTTCCATAATTTACGCCAGTATGATACACATTCATTGTAATATAATAACTCAAACCTACCAGTGATTTCAGGGAATTAATTATAACTGTGGAAAAAATCATAGCGCGATTTTCTTTTTCAAAACCCGTCGGTGTTTAACGAGTCTCTTTGACCAAAAGAAATTCTCCTTGAACTTTGACGAAAAGAGAAAAGGAATATTAAGTTTATACAGTTTCGACTACAAAGGGTTGGAACAATGCACTTAAAGCATTGATTTTGTTTCTTTTTAATTATGAATTGTTAAGATTTAAAACCACTGCATTCGTTGTTGGATGCCAACAGTTTATCAAGTAGTTTTAAGAACTTCCTTTAAGGGATGGAATATATTTTTTCCGAGCAATTCTTTTCTTCTATGCTAAAACAACTTGCGAATACTCAGCTAATCTTCGGTGGAAATCTGGTAAATCGCACGAGACATCATAGCGTTAATATCGCCGAAATTTATTCGAATCGAAAACAAAGACCTAGTGCTGTAAAAGATGTTCAACTATGTAAATCGCCGTTATTTGCATAATATTCATTTAGCAGACGACTGTTTGGAGCTGTTTTTGCTCTTTGTATTCGGGGGCATAAATCGCGGTCTAATGTTCGCTTCTAGGAGCCTTAACTTATGGAAAGTGTTCCGGAGGTCGCGAAAAGTTTGACTTTTTTCCCTGGTCGTTAAATGGTCGAGCCGTGTCGTGAATAGTGAAGAGTTGAAGCCCTAGTCGGAATTAATTGCTTTTATTTATATAGTTTTGCCCGCAACTCTGAATCGGATTGCCATTCAAACTTTCCATACTTTTATTCATATTACTGGGCTTTTCAGTTGGATAAATCCCGAATGATTCACTAAGTGAAACAGATGCATTATGTGAAAATTCCATTAGAGCAAAACGCCAAAATATTTTATCCGTTTTGGCACATTTCAAAAAACTGGAAAAGGTCTTTCATTTTCGTACTAGCAAAAGCTTTGAACTGAGAGATGCTCCATTAGGATCATGGTAGTTTCTGAACGTTTTTCGAATATGGTTCAAAACTAATGAATTTTCCTGTGTTTCCATAAAAGCTACTCATTTGAGAATGGGAATGGAATTAATTAATTTAGAGATTAGACTACATAATTATATGTAAAAAATTTGAAGGACAATTTTGTCCACTAAATACATTTGCTTCTTGTGACTAGTTCCTATGCGTAATTAAGGATGGCCAATTAATCCTTAGGAACCCAAGACAGTTCTCAAATCACTATGTTCGAAAGGATTTTCTGACTAATCGGCTTTTAGAACCGCTTCTAAACTTTTAAATATCCAAAAAGTTTCTATTGTCTTGTTTACCTTGAAGCAGGAAGGAATTTAATTCGAGATACTCCGTGGAAGAAGTTCTAGTCAATATTTCATTATTTGCTTCCGTTTCTAAGATATAACAGAAAATGTCCAATAAATGGCTCTATGCAGGTTAGCAATTTCAATTGATGCTTGAACAAGGGACATGTCTCAAAACGCCGCATTCTAATAAATCATAGAACGTATCAGCTGTTCGGCCACATTAGAGTTGCTTAACTCTTTGACATTTTTACGTGTTCTTATTTCTGCTTCTGTCTTTTGGGGTTTGCGATTACGCATATAAACTAATTAAGCAAGACAATACACAAAATGATTTTTCGAAAAAGTTTTGACCACTTATTCTATATTCTGAACCGTTTGGAAGATATGCGGTTTTTAACTTCAATGACCCGTGCAGGTGAGTTAGGCATTTTTGCTTCCGGCTCTTTAAGTAAGGAATTTCTGATGAAAATAATCCATCAAATATATTTGAGACAAGCAACAAAAAAAAATCGTTAATTTTAAGCGCCCAGAGCTATCACCCCCATAATCGAGGAGGAAATTCCAAATTCCCACTGCATACCTATCTGGAAATGGCCCGAAGAGTTACTTCTCGATTAAACTATATTAGAAAGCAAAAAACTCAATTGGCACATAATCCCTCAAAACAAATCCTTCTGTGTCCAAATTGAAGTAATTTCGAGCAAACGCTTAAAAACTTTAAACAATTCTTTTCATAACAAACATTTTAAATAAAAATTCCTTCCCATCCTTGTCGACTATTGGTTCATATCAAAATCGTTACTGTCCCCTGTATAATAGGTTTGCAGTCTACTTTCCATTACCCAAAATTGCCAACCAAACGATAATTGGACCCGAGAGATTTGCGGATCGCCTCCACTTTGTTATCAAACTGAAATTCGAGATTTGATGGAAATTTCCAATGGTTGCCCCAGTTTGAAAAGTGCCAGCAAACTTTTATAAATTTGCCCAAGAAGCTGTAAATTAACAACTTGCCTGTCGTGGAATCCAATAAAATTGAACATCCACCCGGGTTCAGAAAGTAATAAACGGATATTAAATTAATACAAAGTTAGGAAAGAATCGACTGCTGTAAGTTTTGATTTTGCTGCGTCTCGAATGACGATTTGCAAAAAAAACATTTTCCTGCTAGCCTGGAAGGCCTTATTCTAAAATCGACCTTATTTCAGGATATTTGTATTTAAATTGCCAATTGCCATGTTAGCTTGAAAACACGGAACGAGTACATTACTATTTCAGCGACCTGATAGCCATATATGGCATTCAGTGCAAATAATTCATCGCATGATAATTGCAACTTGTGTGCCTTAGAAAGCCCATATCAACATGCTCGGTAAACGCTTTTTCTGCTTGCATAAATAATCATAAACACAGCTCAGTTGCATCGATTCAATTCCGGATATTTGCGATGACCAAGTCGCTTGAAAAATAGCTTCACTTTCTGTAAATTCAGTTTTCGTAATGATTTATTTATGTCAAATAGCGCACAAATATCCGCATTTCTTGAAAACAAATAATCCTCGCTGTTTGGTTTCAGTGAACTATCCGAACTTTCCGAATGGCAATATCAAATACAAAAGAAATAACCAGAACTGGAAATATTGTAAAACTTTGCAGAAGGATTCTGAAAAAAAATACAGTGCTTCAATATCGATTTCTGATCGAAAAGTTTCCAAACTTTTTATTAATTTAGCATCGGTTTATTAGTTCCGCCGCTCTGATGTTGTATAACTTTGTTTTATTGGATTTCAGGCGGGGCGCTGGTAATTTATTTCCCAGAGCGATCGGTCGAGTCCTTCTTTGAAGACTCGAATTAAATAATTCAATGATCGTTTTGTCAATTTAGTTGCAGTCTCTCTCGATACTTTATAGTTCGTTTGATGGCATACTGACTGCAGAATCGGAAATTTAAAGCAGCTCTAGAGAAGCCTTGTATTTTCGTAATGAAGTAGCTTGCGTTTATCAAAAAGTTGTAGATACAAGATTAATTTTTTGAATATCGTGGAGAGACTTGTAAGTTGAGCTTGTTTCTAGCCATCTCATTGTGCAACTTATATTATAATATATCAAAATACCATGACAGAAAATGTTTAGATTCAACTCCCATTCGCAACAATTCCTTGATAATATTCTCTCTGGTCATTTTTAACGGGTGTTTCAATCACCTAAAAATGGCCAGTACTTAAGGGCAGAATTAGCAAAGTTCAGATGCGACTTGCAAATTTGAAAGGCATCAAGGAAAGAGCGGTGATTAAAAGTATTTCGACCT